AAAAAAGAATCCAGACACTAATCTAGGGGGCTGGGAGATTTGCTTGTTTTTTGTTTTTTTTTTCCCAGAGGTGAGGACCGAACCCAGGGAGGACCGAACCCAGGGCCTTGTGCTTACTAGGCAAGCGCTCTACCACTGAGCTAAATCCCCGGCCCCCCGAGATTTGCTTTTGTCTGCAGAGAATTTAGTTGTTGTTTTCTTAAGATTTATTTTTGTTATTTCAAATTGTGTGTTAGCTGGGCAGCAGTGGTGTCCACCTTTAATTCCAGCACTGGGGAGGCAGAGGCAGATGGATCTCTGAGTTCAAGGCCCGCCTGGTCTACAGAGCAAGTTCCAGGATGGCCAAGAATACACAGAGAAACCCTGTCTCAAAAACAAAACCAAACAAACAAAAAGAAAGAAAGAAAGAAAGAAAGAAAGAAAGAAAGAAAGAAAGAAAGAAAGAAAGAAAGAAAGAAGAGAAAAGAAAGAAAGAAAAGAAAAAAAAGAAAAAAAAAACCAAGCAAATCATGTTAAGGTGTGAGTGTTTGCATGCAGGTATGTGCCTGTGAGTACAAGTGAGACCCAGGGAGACCAGAGGTGTCAGTGCCCTGGAGCTGGAGTTACAGAAGGTTGTGGTTTGCCTGACATAGGTCCGGAGACTCAGGTCCTTTGCTAGAACAGCAAGTGCCTTTCAACATTTAGCCATCTCTCCAGCCCCTATTATGTATCATCTGGATCTCTGTGAGTTCAAAGCCACCCTGGACTACATGGGACTGATTCAGTCTAGGAGAGAAACAGAGCCAGGTAGTGGTGGCACGCACCTTGAATTCCAATACTCGAGATCTCATGCCTTTGCTACCATTACTAGGGAAGCAGACACGCCTTTAATCCCAGAACTAAGAAGGAAGTGATATGGCTGGGCGGAGAAAGGTATATAAAGCATGAGGAGACAGGAACTAGAGCCTTTCAGCTGAGAGCTTTTCGGCTGAGAGGATCTTCGGGCTGAAGCCCATTTCGGGCTGGACCCCTTTCCGCTGAGGACTCAGATTAATCAGAGGATTCATGGAGTTGGCAAGGTGAGACTTGGCAGTGGCTTGTCCCTTTGTCTCTCTGATCTTTCAGCATGTACCCCAATATCTGGCTCTGTTTTTTAATTAAAAGACCTATTTGAATTTGTGTTCCCATGTGGCCCAGGGTGGTGATGATGCAGGCTTGTGGGCTAAGAATTTAGGAGGTAGAGGTAGGAAGATCAAGAGGTTAAGGCCAGTTGGCTGCATGGTAAGTTCAGGGAAACCTGGGATATGTGAGTCCCTGTTTCAAAAACATAACAACAAAGACGCCCTGAATGAAGTTTGTGTATTATTAGTCTGTTGGCTCAGTACATTTTCTAACTATATACATTGTATACAAAGATATGTAAAGGGTCAGTGCAGGGTCTGAACCCAGGACTTTGGTATCTTCAGCCCTCCCTACAGTATGTTTTTTGATTTGGTAAGAAGGGTGCTGCTTGGTGGTTACACTGGGCTGAATGGTGTGTCCTGTGGATGTGACCCCTCTTTTTTTTTTTTTTTTTGGAAATAAAATGCTTTACATATGCTATTCACTAAGATGAAGACATATGAGATAGCTGAGAGTCTTTAGTCCAACAAGCGTGGTTCCCTGTGACAAAAGACACAGATTCAGGGAAAAGAGAAGATGAAGACAGATGCCCAGGGAAGGCTGTGTGATGATGGAGGCAGAGATTGGAGGAAGGGTGGAGGTTTTTTATTCTTTTCTTTTCTTTTTTGGAGGTTTTTCTTCAGCATCTGCTAGAAGGAACCAGCTTTGTGAACATTTACCATTGGCCTCTGGCCTCCAGAATG